CAGCATCTTGCTCTATCCTGTCCCTGCCTGCCCCTGCCTTCCCCTTACGGGGTCTTCCTGTTTCCTGTTGGGTTACATGACCTCACAGCCTCTCTGCTCAGTGTTGGTGGGTTTCTCTGCAGAGACTCTTCCATTCCTCCTTGCCCTCTGCTTCTGATTCTGCTTCCCTGTCTCTCTGAAGGTGTCTTGTTGTCTGTTTCCCTGTCACTCCCTCTGTCTCCCCCCTGCGTCTTCCCCTCCTAGAAGATCACGTGTGGGGGCTGCTCTCCTGGGCTCTGAAGACAGGCATGAATGAGTCTCAGCCCGTGGCTTCAGGAATGCAGCCCAGCGATGGAGAGCCATCTGTTAGCAAACACTCTCGGGGGCCTCCAGGGTCCCGGCTGCCGAGGGGCAGTGGGGCAGTCCTGGTGAGCACTGGGCGAGCTCTACGCTGTGCCCACATCCACTCCTTTAGGCTCCTTTACTGAGAAGTGACACCGTGGCCTGCAGTTACAGCCGAGTGGTGGGCTGCAGTGCCATTAGCACCCTGAGGTGTGCTCTCACTGACCCTCCCCTCCTGCCAGTCCCAGCGGCAGAGTGGTTCTCACGCATTTTGTGACCACGGGTGAGGGACTTAACTCCCTCAGCCTCTTCTATAAATGATGGCGATTGAATGCCAGCTACACAGGGTTGTGCAGACCAGATGAGGTCCCACGGGGTCTGGGAGACCGACCTCACTCACCCTGTGAACTCCATGGAGCAGCAGTGTGGGAGGCCTGAGGGCGGGCCCTGAGCCTCCGGCAGGGGCCTGCCTTCCAGGCCCCCGGAGCAGGAGTCTGGCCCAGCACGCTGGCCGGGCAGAAACTGCCCACCTCGCCCAGGTAACAGCTGCCATCTCACCCGCAGGAATCCTCGTGGCCCACTACCTCCAGAGCATCACGCCGTGTCTGGCACTGGGCGGAGAGCTGGTCTACCACCGGCGGCCTGGGAGAGGGTACTGTCATGTCTCTAGCTGGGAAATACACATGTGAGTCTGGGGCCCGAGGGTAGGAGTGGGGCTGGGCCTCGGACTCCTGGGTCTGGGCGAGGGGACCTGGGTTCTCAAGTCCCCCTGGTAACCTACCCCCACCCCACACTGCTCTCTTACAGTGAACAACTGGTTGGCGACAGTAACGTTGGGCCAGGCGGGCATGCACGCGACATACTACCACAAAGCCAGCGACCAGGTGAGCTGGTCCAGAGACCGGCCGCGAGCGCGCACTTCCAGGCATGGGTTGCTAGGGGCTTGTGTGCCCGGGAGTCCAGTCTGGGATGCTGACTCTGTTGCCCTGGCCCCTCCAGCTGCAGGTAGGCGTGGAGTTTGAGGCCAGCACAAGGATGCAAGACACGAGCGTCTCCTTCGGGTACCAGCTGGACTTGCCCAAGGCCAACCTCCTCTTCAAAGGTACAGGCCTCAGTTTCCCCGCATGGAAAACAAGACGAGAGGTGACTCAGCTCTGAGTGGGTGTAGGCCAAGGAGATGGTGAAGGGCATCAGGCCGGGACTCTTGGGGGCCTCCAAATCACCCAGGAGTGCTTGCTAAGAAGGTGGGGCCTGGGCCTAAGCTTCGTCCCTGCTACATTCCTCCCCACCCCGGCCAGCAGCCCCCTCCCATCTCTGCACTCGACCCTCTTTTTTCTTTTCCCGTAAGTCGACGGCAACTTGGAGCACACCCAGCCACCCCACTCAGGTCACAGTGGAAACGAGGCTCCTGGAGGTTGCGGTCACTACCAGACCCTCCTCCAGCTGCCTGCCTCCCGACCTGGTGTCTAGCTTTAAGTCTTTCTTCTTGGGCCTCAGTGGTTCTCGGGTTTGGAGGGTCTGAAGACCACCCCGAAGGCCGCATCAGTCAGCAGGGCTGCTGCCGGCGGCGATGAGGCCCCCGGGGTTTCTTCACCTCTATCTCAGCCCTTGCTCTGGCAGAGGCTGGGTTGGGGTTCCAGCTCTGGCCCCGTGAAGTGAGTGAGCCTCCCTCCCACGTGGGGGGAGCACCGGCAGGTGCACATCACCAGGCTCTCGTGAATGAGGACAGTTCAGTCTTCCATTCAGCAGACACCGAGCGCCCGCTGTGCCCAGAGTTGTGCTGAGGGTGCTGGGACGGCCCGTCCTCACGGGTCACACGAGGAAGCACAGACCCATCCTCAAAAGCAAGGACCTGGTGTGGACAGGACTGAATGGGGGGGCCCATGGGGTGGCGGAGGGCTTCCCGGAGGGGAGGGCTCACTGAGCTGAGGGAGATGAGCCGGTTGCTTCGAGGGCTGAAGTACCTGGGGTGCAGGAAGAGGTTTCTGGGAACAGCCTGGTCACAGGTCTGGAAGCCCGCAGTCTGGCGGTGTCTGATGTGGCCTGGAACACGGCCCCACAGACAGTGGGAAGCCGGCACATGGCTCTCAGCGCAGCTGTCTGCCCACAGGCTCCGTGGACAGCAACTGGATCGTGGGCGCCACGCTGGAGAAGAAGCTCCCGCCCCTGCCCCTGACGCTGGCCCTCGGGGCCTTCCTGAATCACGGAAAGAACAAGTTCCAGTGTGGCTTTGGCCTCACCATCGGCTGAGCCCCTCCTGGCTCCTGCCTCCCACTCCCTCCCTCCTTGAGATTCCCCCTGCTCCTCCCCCGACAGAGGGGAGACCTACGCGCCCCTCCCTCTCCCTTCCCTCCCTCCTTGGTGGTCAGGGGGGCAGCGGAAAGGAGGGGGCCATCACCCCAGCAGCTGAGGGGGGAATTCTAAAACCACGGGCGCTTCAGGATTCGGAGCACCGGGGGCTGTGTGCCCAGTGGACCTGGGGCCCAGAAGGGGTTCTGGAATCGAGGGGCACGCCAGATTCTGAGCACCAGGGGCAGAGGCTGCCAGACAACCTCAGGGAGGTGTTGGGGCATCGCCACCACCCCCCAAAGATCATGGGGCCCCGCCCCAAGGGGGCAGCAAGAAGAGGAGCTTCCCCATCCCAGGTCTGCCCTCCACCCACTTTCCCATCCACTCCTCGGTATAAATCATGTTTATAAGTTATGGAAGAACTGGGACATTTTACAGAAAAAAAACAAAAAATATACATGAAAAAAAAAGACACGAAATGGGAGGCCTGGTTTTCCTACCTGTCTGCCCCTCCGTTCATTCCATCCAGCCTGATCTTCCCATGGTGGCCACAGGGGGGTGCCACAGGGCTGGGGTATGGAAGGATGATCCAGAAAGGGAGTCAATCCTGGCTGCTAACAGGAGCCCAACTTAGAGAGGGAAGGGCCTGGCCCAGGATCACAGCCTCCCTGGGACATCACCGGCCTCTCCAGGAGGGTGTGGTCTTGTGGTCACTGGCTCCAGCTTGGTCTGGCCAGAGAGGCTGCAGGGGACTTTGTGCCTTCGGAGGTGAAGCAACAGGAATGGTACTGTCAGTGCAGAGGTGGGGGGCTGCGAGCTGGGACTCTGGGGGCTTTCCAGATTCCAAAAAGGGCAGGGGATGTTAGGATTTCTGTCTGCTAGGGAGGGCAGAGGTTTCCTGGAGAATACAGGCACCTGGAAACAATTCAGAATCACTATCTGACAAAGAACAAAAGATAAATTACACTTAAAAATTGTAAAACCGTTTTTGCTTTAAAGGACACCATTGAGAAAGACCACCCATACAACGGGAGAAATATTTGCAAATCTAATATATGATAAGGATGGTGATGGAAAAAATAACTGGGAGAAAGGCATGAGTTTAGGATTGGGCAGGGGGGGGTCACCTGTGTCTCAGGTGTCTGATGCTGGGAGGAGAGATCAGTTGGCCTGCCTGGGGCTCAGGTAATCACCCCTGACTCCCTAAGGGAACTGAAAACCCTGTCTGCCACCCATACATACCCAGGGTTTGGGTGGAGGCTGCTGAGCAGAAATGAACCCTTATTGCCTGGAAAGCTACAACACCCATTTCCTGTCCACATCTGTCCTGACACTGAGGCCCCCTTCCTGGTACCAGGGGTTTGGCCTCCCCTGACCCCATGGGATCCAATTCTCCCTGTGTGGCCTCACCATCTGTCTTAACCTCGTGCAGTAACAGCTGCTAGGAGGTTTGTGTTGGAGCTGAGATAAGACACACTGTGTGTGAGGTTCCCAGTACTTCACACAGGACAGCAGATTCTCAGCGTTTTGGTCATTTCCTTACATTGATGAGATGCTGTAAGAGCTTAACTCGTTTATATCCCTTAGCCCCTGGGAAAGTGTGCTTCGTTAAACATTTTACTGCAGTTCCAAGGACCATCTATTGATGAGGTTACATGAGGACTTACGTAGCTTCTTGCATCACTGAACGATGGTGTAAGTGCAGTTGTTTCCCCCGTTACGTGGACCAGAAACTGGATGTTCACACAGGCTTGGTCATATGCCCAAGGTCACACAGCTGGCAAGGGACAGCCCGGTTCAGGCTGGGCATTGGGTTCCAGAGTCTCCAGTCCTAACTGGGCAGCATGAAAGCTCCAGGCCTGTGGAGGCACGACGTTTGGGCAGCTGGAATCCACAGTGCTGGTGCTGGACTGAATTTCCTCATCTGTGCCCAAGGTCACAGCCAGCGAGGGAGTGAGGACTAAGACCCAGGTTCCATTCTCAAAGCCTAGGCTTTCAGCAGAGCCATCACACTCCCCCACCCTCCCGTCTCATTTCTGCCACCAGTTCTCTTCTCCCTCGGACCCAGGGATCCAAGCCCCCAGCCCCCTCCTTCCTCTGACCCAGGATTTCCTGTCCCCAGCCCCCTCCCCAAATTTGATTCATCAGTGGCTGCCTGCTCCTTCCCCTTCCATGCCCAGCCCCACAGAATTGAGGAGGGCGCCTGAGTTTCTGGGTGAGATGTCACCTCCCCTCCTGGGGGCTGGGGGCATCACAGAGCCTCCAAGCCCCACCTCCTTCCCCCTGCTCGCTGTGTGAAGGGGGAGAACAGCCCACCTCGTGACCAGGGGCTGGCCCAGCTGCCCTAGCCCTGGAGGAGTGGGCGGGGCAGGGGAGCCCTATAATTGGAGGAGTCCGGGATCCCTGAGTCCTACTCAGCCAGAGTGGAGGCGAAAGACCGGTTGCTCAGGAGTCGGTGAGAAGCAGAATTGGGGGCACAGAGACCAGCTCA